TTCTCGAAAGTAAAGACATAATTTAAAATTCCGTTACAACACGAAAATAGATTGAAGTTTTGTGATTACAGTGATATATAATTTATATAGTTTTGTAACAAATTGCTCGCTATTTTATGGCAAACGCTGAAGCTCTGCAAACTTTAAGCAAACCTTAATCAAAGCACGTGCGTTTGGTATTTTGGGTTAGGCTTGAACAAGAGGTGAACAAGAGGTGGGAATGACGTATAAACCATTGGACATTTTAGCACTGTTGTCAGATGGTACTTATTATTACGTTATGTACGGCGGAACTAAGTAATGCCTAGCTATAGCCTTCCTACGAAAGCAGCTGTGGCTCCATTGGTAAGTCCGTCGTTTCGGGATCGAGAGGTCCCAGGTTCGCGTCCGACAAATATAGAACTTTTTTATTTTTTTACAGTTGATTATTTTATTCAATAACAGCACTATTAAAAACGAAAATACTTAAATATTATGACAAAACCACGATTTTAATAATATTATTTCAATGCGATCAACATCGGAACTGCGTAAAATTCCGAGCGAAAACATCTGATTTTTGCCGTGACGAGCGCTGCGGTCGGAATTTTTAAAATCAACTGAAATGCATCAAGCCTATACTATGAGGATACAATATAATTTAATCAACATTAACGGTATACTTTTTTTTAATCAACTAATGCTTAATTTTTTTATGAACGTCTTCTAAAAAAATTTCCCCCAAATGCACTTACTAATACTTTTCAAATTATAACGAATATTTCGTATACTCGCTATTTAAGCTCGTGTATTTGTATAACTCGGTTATTTACGTGATTCTCCGATGATGGCAGCACCGGCGAAGAATGCACCAAGCCTGTAGACACTAACTAAATTAACTGACTTGGTTTTTCATGAGATCCCTCTACTTTCTGGCGTGGAAGAACCGCCTTAAGGTGGGACCTGGCATTTTTTTTATATTTTATGTTTTTGATGGGATTTCCCATAGATTTTGTAACTTTAAAATAATATGTTACAGTTATATGACGCAGACGACTACGAGAAAAGTCCATTGAGGTACGACTATATAGTGTGCAATTTGAGGAATTTAAAGAAGTTTATAATAAAATCTAAGGCAAATGTGCCATTTTTAGACTACAAGCCTTTCGGCATGGTTAAAATCTTTGAACGGAAAAGGTTTTATATCACAATAATCTGCTACGGTAAGTGTATTTATTTAAAGCTATACTCTGTTTTACAACTCAGGGAAGATTTCGACAGACGATGACAGAAAAAAAACAGATGACGTCCATGCCAATCCATTATTTCACTAAAAAAAAGTCGATTTTTTTTTAGAGTTTAGAAAAATAAAGACATAAAAATATAAATATACAAAAAATGGAAATCAGTTCAAATTTTATTTTGCAACTTATTAACTTTTTAAATATTAATAACCGAGTACAGGATGTCCCATTTTCGTGTGTTTTATAGGGTTTCTCGTTTATGTGTAGACTTGGATACAAAGATGCGGTTTTCACATTACTGTGTTACTTTTTTTATGAAACTAAAGATGCTACACACACAGATTTGTAGTAGCCCTCTTAGTTCCTAAAATACAGAGACATCTCACTCTACAATACTCGCCATCGAGAAACCCTGTAAAACACACGAAAATGGGACACCCTGTACAGTGTTATATTTTTTAGTCAGAACTTCAGCCCCACAAATAATATCCCTGAGGAAGAGGTCATTGTCTGAAGTATTCGAAAGCCGAACAGAGAAATCCTGGGACATTGTCAGGACATTTTTGTGTCAAAACCCTTGTAATTACAGAAATTCTCTTGTAAGTTGATTTTAGTTGATCTTAAGCTCCGTCTATACATAACGTTTTACCTTACGTCTTGCGCCTGTCAGTTTAAATCAAAGATACAGCGGTAGTAAACGTGTAGGCGGGGCTTTAGAATGTTTTTAACCAAATATACAGGGTGGTCCGAACTGTATTCTACAGATAAAAATAAGTAAAAAAGTTCCTATAAATGTGTGTCCTAAAATGCTTAGTTTCAGAGATACAGGGTGTAGAAGTTCCATTTTTATTTCGATTTTTTTTCCAAATAATTAATTAAGTAACGTCATATCAATATTTGAATGAAAATTGGTGTCTGGGAGTTATTTGACATGAGAATTTGATTTTAATGTCAATATGACTCCTACCAATAGAGGGCGCCACCTACATATGTTTTAACTGTTTTGAAGCGTAATAATTTTTGTCCGTACCTGTATAAAACTACCGAGGAAAAAATATACATCTCTGTGACTTTTCACGCAAAAAATATCTCTTTTCATTGAAATAATAAATTTGGGATTTTTTTTAATTAATGATAAATTTTTCTGCAAAAAATGATGATAAAACAGTTTCTATTGAACTTTTGGCACAAAAGATTTCAAATTTATTATTTCAGTCTAATAACTATTTAGTCAACATGTTTAATTTATGTCAATGATGACAGGTATTATTAATTTCGATTCCAAATATCTTGAAAACTATTACACGTAGCGATTTTTACCAAGAGGCCTATTTTATGTAAAAAACATCGTAAATGTATATTTTTTACTCAGTACAGGTACGGACGAAAAGTTATTACTTTTCAAACCAGTTAAAAAATATGTAGGTGGCGCCATCTACTAATAGGAGTCATATTGACAACAAAATCAAATTTTTCATGTCAAAAAGTTCCAAGATTCCAATTTTCATCCAAATATTGACGTTACTTCAGAAATTATTTGGAAAAAATTCAAATAAAAATGAAAATTCTACACCCTGTATCTCCGAAACCAAGCATTTTAGGACATACATTTATACGAACTTTTTTACTTATTTTTATCTGCAGAATATGCTGCCGAAGTTTCCGGAATACAGTTCGGACCACCCTGTATTATAAGAATATAGTGCTAGTAAGGAACAGAAATTGAATCCAAATTTTTGAGATGGAGCTATCAGCTATACAAAATCCACATAAGTCGGTCCTTTTCGTTCAACAGCTTTGAACTACGCAAACGTGAGAAGTGCTTCGCGATTAGTTGATTTATTTCATACTAACCAATAGAAGTAGTTTTCTAAGTTTCTATCTACCACGTAAATCAATTTAGCGTTTGACTATTCGCGCCTTTACTTATAAATTTAAATTTAATCTCTGACATATTTAAACAAAAACGAGAAACGGATAGATATGATGAATATCTAAAATAACCGGTTGAAATAATACCATTTCCAATAAAAAAATAATATATTATTCGTTATTAATATTTAAAGTTTAAAATAGTGCGCGCGCAGGTGACAGCGTTCAGCGATGAAGTAGACGAATCAGATCGTTTTATTTGGCGCGTGCGTACGAAAATCATGTCGAACTAAAAGGATAGACTTATGCAAGATTGATATTCCTATTTCTATTCTTTGGCTTCACTTTCAACTCATTGTGTAAAGGAGGTACTAGCAATATATACTTATAATATATTTGTTTTTAACTAACTTAAAATTTTTAGGAAATTTCCGAAAAACGTTCCTTTAAACATGTCGAATTCCAGGAACTGTCCTTCCTGCATGTTCGAACATGCAATCCGACCTTCGTTAACGCGGCTATCGACATTTTACTGTCGAAACACTGTAAAGGACTTAAAAAAGTTGCCCTGACACTGTGTATCTTACAGGGTAACATAGAAATCCGCATTATAGCGAGTTTAATTTTTAGAAAATTTAATATTTTAGAAGGGAATATTGAAAAAAGCGAAAAGAAAAATATTTTCAGGCACATTATCAATAATTCGCCCTATATGACCGATTTGGAGATCGCCACGTGTAACAAGTAGGTAATGATGGCTTTTTAAACTCTCTATATTTACTATTTTACAGGGTGAACCATGGACAGGGTGTCCCATTTTCAGGAGCTTCTTGTTTGTGAGTAGAGATTCTAAGATGCGGTTTTCGCATCATTATGCTACTTTTTTATGAAATTAAAGATGCTACACACAGATTTGTCTTAACCCACTAGCAGTTCCTGAAATACTAGGCGAATTTGAAATTGTTGCGTTTTTTGACTCCCCTCGTATCCCGATTATCTTATATAACTTATCGAAAGGGTGAAAACTGAGTCCTGAAGAGTTTTCACGTAGAATCTAGTTACTAACTAGTTTTTCGCTAGGAGCTGTCATTTTCGAAATATAACTCAAAATTATGTTGTGTTTTTAAATGGGATACCCTGTATATATTTTTTTATAGACCAAAACGCGTTTCTATGGTAATATAATTTCGTTTTTATTCTTCGACAGATTGCTTTACAGATTGTTATTGATAGCTCTGTTGATAGAATTTTTATTAAAGTCATATTTTTTGCTGTTTTAAAATACTAAAGAAGCACAAAATTTATTTAGTTCAATGCTAAGGATAGGGTGATAATAGTTATCGGAAAATGTGATACTTTACAACAGCAATAAATATGACGTTAATCAAAATCATAGATAAATGAAACAAGTTTAGATTGGAAAGTGCCCATAAGGACAATGTAAACACTATTTGGCGCTATTAAGGACGTATGTATGAAATACCTATGAAACATTGGAAACCGACGTTATGCCACGATCCACGATGGTTGTTCACAGTTCACAGCACAGCTTTTTAAGTTTTTAATGCCACTTTTTCACAATTATCACCGGTTGGAGTAAATAAAACTTGAATTAAGCTCACAAGATAGCAATAATTATTTTGAAAATGGACGCTATAAACAGGATCGGAATTTCTTTAATGAGAGCGGTTTAGATATGGTTTAGATTTTGAAAGATTATTATGATTTTTGAAGATTCTGACTTTGACAAGAGAAAATTATTTCTGTTTTTGTTTGCCGTTGTTCTTAGCGACCGCTATAGCAGCGCCAGATCGCGTATAACGGTCGCGACCCAAAATTTTTACCGGCTTTCCAATCTAAACTTGTTGCATTTATCTATGATCAAAATTCACAATACCCATCTATCAAAGAATGAAATCGAAATATGATCGGAATAATTATATTTACATAGAAACACCTTTTGATTTTTAGGACCATATTTTCAGTTTTTTTTTAATTTTCTCTAAAACGGTATGGAAATTTGAAAAAGTATAAACGGGATTAACCGTTTTAGAACAAGCAAAAATCTTTATGGAGAATGAATTTTCTCAAAATGTCATATAAGTAATAATATATAAGATTTAATTCCCTCTTGTAAAGACAATCCGGGGACATACCGTATACTTATTGTAGGCGACCGGTTTAAATTAGGTAATCGAAGCAATCGAATAATTTGTTTGCAATTAACTCGCAAATTTTGGTTATTGGCTATTCCAGGCTAGTTTCTGTGTGTAAAACTCTTGCATAATTACATCAAAAATATCAATCTCTGACAGCGTGTTATCAAAAAGCTAATTTTATCTAAAAGTTCATTTTCAGTGCAGTTTATTAAGATAGCCACGACAGAAAGCAAAATTATCTGGTTAAATTAAATTAAATAATACCTAATACTTTCTTAAAATAGGATGTGTAGCATCGTATCTTTCTTCGTAGCAAAATACTAACTACTCATAAACGAGAAACTCTATAAAAACTCAAAAATGGGACACTCTGTACCTTTAAATAATAAAATATTTTTTATAATTGATTTTTTTTTAAATTTTAGTTCTGAATACAATGATCCCGAAGCAGATTCCTTAAGGATACCATGGTAAATTATCCCAAAACTATAACTATACAGGGTGCTACAAATTCGGGGCATGAGCATTGCTATCTCGGTAACCGTAATAGATATGAACATGGTTAAATTGGGGCAAAGTTGCGCTTTGGGATATTAACCAAAATGCCATCCTTTTTTTTTTAAATTTCAAGGATTGCCGAGTTGTTTAGAAGAAACTAATTTTTTTGAAAATCAATTTTATTTTTTCCTATCGTTACTTTTTAGAAAATCAAAAAACTAATTGCACATTCTCAAAGCCACTTTATTAGGACTATCTGATAACATTTTTAGATTTTCAAATTAGCTGATAATTTGTGAGATACAGAGGCTATTGTAATTTTTTTAAATACGTATCTGCATTTTTTATATCAGGTTTTGAAAGAACTCGGTCTCCTGAGTATAATAATACGCCACAAGTAATATTTTTTTTTGTTTCGGACATTTGAACACAATTTATTTAAACTAATTTCAAGTCTGGATCTGTTTTTTTAAATATTTAATCTATTCATCGTTACAATGTTGATAAGCTTTCAAACAATGACGTGGGGTAAAACGTTCACTACGAACAGCATTCAAAACATTCAGCAATCCTTGAAATTTTTAAAACTTTTTTGATGGCATATTGGTGAATATCCCAAAGCGCAACTTTGCCCCAATTTAACCTTGTTCGTATCTATTACGGTTACCGAGATACCAATGCTCGTACCCCGAATTTGTAGTACCCTGTATATATTTCCCTATACATAAAAAATATCTTTAGTTTTAGTTCAGCAATACTGGGTGCTTACGAACTGATCAGCAACCTGAGATATTTAAAAAAACTGACCCTGGAAATACCGACATACTCCAGTGGCGCATTCCTGAAGGACGTAAGTAAACCAATATACAGGGTGTCTCAATATTCCGTAGACATAGAATCACTACGTATTTTTGGAATCAAAATAAATTCATGTTTAAATGTCTGATGCCCACTTGCACCGTTTGTATAAACTTTGTTTAAAGGCTAAACAGTGATTAACTATATAATATCTTATTATAGTTAATCACTGTTTAGCCTTTAAACAAAGTTTATACAAACGGTGCAAGTGGACATGAAACACATAAAAAATATTTATTAAAAATCAACCTTAGATCATGTAATAACTAGACACGCCTATTACCTATTAGTAATGTTGACTTCAAGGAGACAGAATGGTATTCTTTATTCCTCCATTATTTTAAACTAACAGATTATTTTTTTCAGGTATTTTTAAAATGTCCACAACTTGAATCGTTGCGACTTTTGAGCAGAGAAAACAACGAAGACTTAAATTCAGTTTTATATTCCCATTTAAACTACGCCCAAATGCTGAGAGATTTCAGGTAAGGCGGCTATATTAACTATGTGGGGAGCTCAAGTGGGGGTTGGCTAAAGTCGGATCTCACTAAATCTCATGGGGGGGGGGGAGAAAGAGAATACACCGGGTGCGTCTCGAAAGTGGCTCACCCCCTATAACTTTTTTATTTTTTCAGATAAAATCACGAGATTTTTATATGTTAGTATATGACATAAATTAGGATTGTTTTCGGTCACTTCCTGTTTCACCGGAAATTACTCCAACGCAACGTTTGATTTTTAAATGTATCCTCGGTATGCTATTTTGTAACTTTTGGGCATCTTTTAACCGGCCGGGATAAGACACTAAAACATTAGATGTCAAATCTATTTTTCCAAGGCTCATTGATTAAAAATTAGTGTTTTTAACAGAGCCATGGCACTCAAAATGTCAAATGTTGACATATGATATGTCATTCTATTAAAAGTGCCATTTTCTATCGAACAAAGTAAAAAAATACCAAGGTTGTCATTAAAAATCAAAAGTTGTAGTCATTTCCGGTGATACAGGAAACAATTGAATACGTCAATCAATCCTAATTTATGTCATATACTATACCGTGTCTCGTGATTTTATCTGAAAAAAAATAAAGTTATAAGGGTGATCCACTTTTGAGACGCACCCGGTATATTCCATAAAATTTTTCTGTTAAATATATTTTCATTATTCTCAAAAGAAACGAGATAATGAATAATCTTTACTCACCCTGTACAGGCTTCCTCACAATAATTATTATATAGGGTCCGGCAATAGTGCCTCGGGCATATTTTAACTTCTACAGGGGTGGCTCAAAGAAGTCTAGTGGATGGCGATATTTTTTTTAAGTGGAACAATCTGTACATTATTGCAATTTTGGCTTCCATTCTGATCACTTTATATATAATCCTAAAATATTAAATATATTTTGATGGTTTCAGAAATATAAATAAATAAAATAATATTTTTTCAGCCTTTTAAAAAAAAGTTAAAAATACAAGAACTGTCCTAAATCAAAACTATACTAAGTATTTACTATAGTTGGTTTGTACTTACATTCCTATAAATATCGTAATCTTAAACCATATAGGGTGTTCACAATTCTATGCCAAACTTTGTAAAATAAAAAATAATTTTTCTTCGTTTTTTTTAAACACTTTGTATATTATGCCTTTGTTCGATGGAGAATTGAAAAAATTAACATTTTTTGTATTGTAAGTATTTTAAAATTTTTAACGGTTTCGCGGATATTCCTAATATTATACAATATGATCGAAAAAAGCTTCAGAGATGGCTGTGAAATGGAGATCGCCGTCATTTTATATGTAAAACTATATGGGGAATGTCATCGATGTTCATTTAGAAGCCAACTGGAGATTTTTTTCTTGTTTTTTTTTTCGATCATACATCATTTTTCATGCCGTTGAAAGAGCCACATGTAGTAAAAACGCGAATATTTATGAAACCACTAAAAATGTAATACTTGAAATTGAATTTGTGCCGTTTTGCCTTTATGGTGGCCGGCCGTAGCGCAAGCAGTTAGTGTGTCGATCTGCGGTGCGAGAGATGGGATGGGTTCGATCCTCAGCCAGTAGGGTCGCTTTAGTTATTTAAATAAAAATATTGATTTATCTAAATAGAGCGACCAGTGAGCCGCCACCTCAAGGAAGGCAATGGCAAACCACCTTGAGTATATTTGCCTTGTACAACCTCTCAAATAGTGCCTTTCGTATTCGGTGATAAACTGTAGATCCCGTGTACTTGTGAAATACTGATGACACACATCACAAGTACAGGGTGGGTCAAATTCGACGCTTTTAAATGGAAACACCCTTTTCTATAGGAGATAGACAAAAACTAATATCGGTGTCTGGAGCTTAATTTTTGTCAAAAACATGATGGTGAAAATCGCATATCGATATCTGTTACCGTTTCGGAGTTACGGAGTGTTTTTCAAAAATATGCATTTTTAACAAATCTCTGTAACTTTTTTGCTATGTAAAATTTTGTATTTTTATGAAAACATTTCCAAGGCCTTTTTACGTAGAATTTAATGATTTAAGTATAATTTTTTTAAAATTAATAATTTAAAAATTATCAACAGAAAATTTGATTTTTATATGGAACACCCTGTATATTTTTAATTTATTGAAAAGAATTAAAATGAGCTTTCCAAAAATATAACATACTTGATATTTTGCTCAATTCCTCTTCGAGATATAGAGTATATAAAAATTCGCCCTCTTTAAATAAGTAGGCTTTGAACAGCACCGGCTGTAATGGAAAAAAAAATTAGCTGTGAGCATCAATTAAAACGAAATAATATTTGCTGTTTCTGGCCCTAAAAATATAATGTAAGTCTTTTATTTTTGCCATCATTTAAGTACCTATTTATATTTACTCCATTTACAAAACTTTGGGCGTATTACGTTGGTCTTGATTTATTATAATAAACGATGTTTAAATATTTGACTTATAAATAAGAACTTTAAATAATGAATAATATTTCACATGTTTGGCTTTAATTTTATTTAATAATTGTTAAATTAAACTGTTAAATCTTATTTTTTACACATCACAATGATACTTGTGATTAGTATTGTTGAATTTGTGTAAAAAATAATATTTAATAGTCAAATTTAATTATATATATCTTAGAGTAAAATTTAATAAATACGCTCATTTAAAAGCACGCGCTTCGATCCATTTAAAACAAGCCCTACTCAATAGATGGCGCCACTTCTGTAGGACCATTTTTCAGTATGGCAGAGTCCATTCTTTTTCTAGCTAGGTATATTCTTTGATATCGACCGTCTTCTGTTATGGACAGACGGGTCAGTTTATGAACATTTCTCGCGGAATTGATTAACTCGGTGGGGGTTAAAGATACCCCCTCATAACTGCTAAGTATTTTTAATTCTTGTCTAGATTATATGGAAGAATAAGGAACCTTTATTCTTCCGCAAATATATCCATAGGATTATATCCATGGGCACTAAGTTAGGCGGCCTCGACGGCCAATGGCTGGAATCTTGGTTAGCTATTCAATTATTCTTGAAATTGGCTGCAAAAATTTGCTGATAACTTCAGCGTTCAGAGGCGGTGCGTCGTCTTGCTGGAAATATAATGTTTTCGAGTTCCATTAAGGGCATATCATCAATAAGGGGTCCAAAGCCTACTAGTTAAAAGTGGCGAATTTTTAAAAATTCTGTATTTCGAAGGGGATTATAACAAAATATCAAGTGTGCTATATTTTTGGAAAGGTAATTTTAAATTCTTTTCAGTTAATTAAAAATATAGAGGGTGTCCAAATAAAAAAACAATTTTTCTGTTGATAACTCTTAAATTATAAATTTTAAAAAAATTATGCTTAAACAATTAAATTCTACGTAAAAGGTGCTTTGGAAATGTTTTCATAGAAATACAAATTTTTCATAGCAAAAAAGTTACAGCAATTTGTTAAAAATGCACATTTTTGAAAAACACCCCGTAACTCCGAAACGGTAACAGATATCGATGTGCGGTTTTCACCATCATGTTTTTGATGAAAATTGAGCTCCAGACACTGATATTAGTTTTCGTCTATCTCCTATAGAAAAGGGTGTTTCCATTTAAAAACGTCGAATTTGACCCACCCTGTACATGCGAGAGGTAGCCGACGCTCTGTATAGAGTATGGCACTGTAAGAAGATGAAATGCGGTTTAAGATTACGATATTTATAGCAAAGTAAGTACAGACCAACTATAATAAATACCTAATATAATTTTGATTTCAGGATATTTCTTGTATTTTTAATATTTAAAAACAAGCCCAAATAACATATTAAATAATATCTTATGATTATGTAAAATGATCAGAAATGAAGCCAAAAATGCAATAATATATAGGGCGTTTCATTAAAAAAAATCATCCCTATCCACTCGCTTTTTTGAGCAGGGGCGGAATTTATTTTAGGGGGGGTCCAAAATGAATTTAGAATATGCTTTTTAGGGCGCCATTTTTTACCCAAAAGCCTAATATTTTACACAATTCACAGACTTTAGAAGTATGTATGTATCCGCCTATAGTATCCCTGTATCCGCCACTGTTTTTGAGTAACCCTATAAAATATTTACTGAAATACCTCCTAGTACATACTTTAGGTTTGCACTTATCCAAAATTCCTAATTTTTTATTATAGGAGCTACAGATGCTCGACGCACTATTGCCGGACCCTGTATGGCTATGATTATGATCTCAGTGAAATAAGTAAACATAGAGACGCCCTCGCCTATAAAAATGATTCTATTTTAGTACGTCGCGTTAATAACATGTATTTCTAGGTTCGAAAATGTCCACATCGATTTGGACCGGCTATTTTCGGCGCTGAATAAAAACCTAACCTCGAAACTGAGCAGGATCGTCACCAAATGCGAGTACGAACACTCCTCTCAGCTGTGGCCCGTCGAGAAACTGCTTAAACGCCACACGAACGTCATTTTGCTCGTCGTATGCGTGTCCAAGTACAACAGGCACCAAGTGACCAAACTGCAAGAACTGATGGATGAGCACAAAGACCATCCCGCGAAAATATACGTGGCTTGTACCGATATTAAGGAGGAGGAAGGATATTTTTTTCCAGAGGCTCACAAAGACATTCTGTCTTGTAATAGTAATATTTCTATGCTCAGTTTTATGGAGTATTAAATTAATTTTGATATTTTTGGGAGTTTTATTTAGAATACATTTAACTTTTGATCACGTTAAATAACGTAATGTACCTCTACTGGAGCTGTGTCTACTAGATCGCTACCTATATACATGCGGCAGAGAGCCATGTGAACTCTCTGAGTCAATCATGAGCTTTTCTACATATGTTATACCGGCTGCGTCTCAAAAGTGGCTCACCCCTATAACTTTATTATTTTTTCAGATAAAAAAACGAGATTTGGTATATTAGGATCTGACATAAATTAGGACTGATTGACATATTCTCAATTGTTTTTGGTCACTTCCTGTTTCACCGGAAATGGCTACAACTTTTGATTTTTAAATGGCACTCTCGGTATTTTTTTACTTTATTCGATAGAAAATGACATTCTGAATAGAATCACATATCATATGCGAACTTTTGACATTTTCGCTTAATAAAAAATCCTATTTTAAATTTCAATCTAGAGTGCCATGGCTATGTTAAAAACACTAATTTTTAATCAAGGAGCCTTGGAAAAATAGATTTGATCGTCTAGCGTTTTTAATGTCTTGTCCTGGTCGGCTAGAAGATGCCCAAATTGTATTTTTAATCATATCTCAATTTTTTCAAATGGAACGAGGGTGGCTCATTAGAATATTTGGAAAAAGCATTTTTTTACGAATACTTTGATACCACACACTTGGTATTTCGAGCCAAATTTTCGTTATGAACTGCAAGTTATAATTTCAAATAAACCATATGTGAAAATGTCAAAAGTTGACATATGATATGTCATTCTATTTAGAGTATTATTTTCTATTGAATAAAGCAAAAAAATACCTAGGGTGCCATTTAAAAATCAAAAGCTGTAGTCATTTCCGGTAAAGCCGGAAGTGACCGAAAATATTTGAATACGTCAATCAATCCTAATTTATGTCATATACTAACATACCAAATCTCGGTTTTTTAACTAAAAGAATAAAAAAGTTATAGGGGTGAGCCACTTTTGAGACGCACCCGGTATAATAAATAATAAATAACATAAAATAAGCCCAGAAAAACGTAACAAATTCCCAAAATTTCAAATCAAATTTTATTTTAAACTTTTCTTAATAAAGTGGGGTCTAACATAAGTGCAAAAATGTCTAGAATACACTGAAGCCCCTGAGTGTAGGACGAGCAAGTAAAAATGTTTTTTACTAGGTTGGTTAATGAAAATAACAATAATCTTAACTCAGTTTAAAAGTCTTAACAACAAATAAAAGAATATAAATCAAAATATGTATAAATGTTTATTTTACGCGTATTATTATACATTTAATGCTAATGTAAATAATTATTAACAGCTAATTGAAAAAGTGTTGAGAATATCCGTTTAGACTATTTATTCAGAGGCCTGAAACAAAAATGGATAAACTTACTCATATTTTAACTCATTTTTTGTGAATTTTTCTACAGATACTTACGGTAGGATCACAATCGGCACAATGCCAAGAATAACCTCTTTTCTTAGGTGATGACTTCAATGGAGGGTCCAAGCAAGAGAAATGATATAATTTTTGACATTCGTCGCACCTATACAGAAAAAAATGTGTTCTCAGATTATTCTTACAAAAAAATTAGTTCTAATATTAACCTTAACACTAACCCTAAGAAATTAAGTTAATTTCTAAGGGTTAGTTTCGTTAGGCTAATTTAATTAACCTAACGATTTTAAGAAAACGCCGTTCATACTGTCTGTTCAACGTTACGTCATCATTATTTGTCAAATATCCGTTTTAGGGTGTGTCTGAGATCAGATCATATTGTTGTAAGTTCAAGATGACAATTCAAGACAGCCCAATCAAATTTTAATTTTGACATTGATCACAAACATTGATCAATGTCCGCAATAACTAAAGAATACAAGGACACTTAACGCCCATATATTGGCTGAAGCAGAATTTGTGTTGTTAGACGCCATTTTTTTGGAAGAACGGATGTGTCACCAGCGACAATTTCAGCGATTTTTAATAGTTTGCTGTGCGTAGTAATGTTGTATAAAGTTTATTACAATCAGCTTTCAATTGTAAAAACTGCAACGATAAGGAAGAGCCAGGAGTTTGAGACAACGATAAGAAAGAGCCACATTCATTGGTGAATAAACAATCCACTTCAACTTTTTAGCGTTTTCTTATTGAATTTGATAACTATTTTTAGCCGACCATACCAACACACACACAGGTATGGTAGGTTATTAAGATGGAAAAAAAACAAGGTTTTTTAATCTCACTCAAAATGAGTTATTTGGGTCATAAATAACCTAAATACAAAATATTTTCATGGTGTCTGTCTGTCTGTCCGTCTGTAACACGATAACTCAAAAACCGCTAAACCGATTTTAACCAAATTTGGCACAAAAATACTGTGACACCCGAGAATCTGGCCATTAGTTTTGGTGGGGGTGTAACTCCAAAATTACAGTAGCTAGCGAAACGCGGTTTTCAATTAGGAATAATATTTGTAACAAAATTTGTAAAAACATCAAAATCAGTCAAAGTCGCAGTTTTTGAGATAAAAAAAATTGGAAAAATTCCTTTACTTTGAAACTAAAAGAACTGCCTACCAACTTTTTATTAACATATTTTAGTATGGGCGGCTATACGTGCCTCCCGGCGCCAATTTTTTGATATTATATATGTTACGGTTAAGGTCCGATGTCCGGTTAATGTCGACATTACCCGGTTAATCTCGAGAATAACACACAACAAAACAACCAAAAACACAACCTAACCCAAACATTAACATGTTAATGTCGACATTAACCGGAGATCGGACTTAACATAGTCACTTGATATGTGCTATACGTCGATACTACCTAGTTTTGCACCTTTTGTTAACATTTTAATACATTTTTTTTGTAATTAATTAGTATACCACCAAAATAAGCAGCAGAGTCATAGGCATAGTCAAAACATTTATCAAAAATATAGCTAAGTTAAGAAAAATATGTGACACGTCACTGTTTAGAGGTATGGTAACAATTTGGCCTCGAGTGTTATTAGTCCTTGTATTCTTTAGTCATTACATCTCTGTCAATAAAACTACAACCCCAAATCAAATGATAATGATCATTACTAAAAAGAATATGCAGTAGGTAATTTACGAAAGCAATGAATGACGTCACCAATCTGTTACATCTGGTTGTCAAGTTAAAGAAAGAGTTCGATAATCTATGAACGTGACGTTGCACGATGCGCTTGTGCACTTATGAAACGTATGTTTAGAGTTAACCTAACTTTACAAATATTTTTAGAATTTAGAAAAGTAGAGAAACTAGGTTTCACAACGAAAACATTGGCTTGTATGTGAATAAACATTATCATTTCTAGACCTAAATATGGATAATTATTAGCATATTTTATATAACATTTATAAACAGTCAAATTCAACATGTCGAATATTAATATCGAAAACATTTAAGAACCCTAGTTTTAGGCATGTACAAATTAATTTGGTATTAGCGAGATGAGATAAATAGATTCAACCAGAAGATTTTCTAAGATATAAATAAATATCTCGTAAAAATAAATAAAAATATAGGTTAGCTTATGATCTCGAACACAATTTCGATAATAAAAAGTGTGATAAAATAAGAGAGAGGAATCATTTTTTTGGTTCTTACTTGACTGAATCGGTATTAGTAGCATCCTGTCTACATACGTCACAGCTGTGACTCAAAACTGTGATGACTCCGGGAATTTTAGGCCTGGATAAACCGCTAGACCGACTTGGTCTGCTATGCGGTACAATTTCTAGAGGATCTCTCAGTGGTACTGCCAGGGGATCCGATAACGATGTCCTGAAATGTTTTTAAGTTAGCGAGTTAAATAAATGAGTTAAATAATACAGGGCGTCCAAATATTATATATAAACTAATTGGAAATTAGTGCAATCACGGTTTGGCAGATATTGGTGGTGTTATATTGCATCATAGATAAAGGAAATAAATTTAGATTGGAATGCCCGTCAAAATTTTGGGTCGCGACCGTTGTACGCGATCTGGCGCTGCTATAGCGGTTGCTAAGAACCGCAAACAAAAAGAGAAATAATTTTCTCTTATCCACGTGTCTTGTCAAAGTCAGAATCTTCAAAAGCTTAATCGCTATCATTGAAAAAATTCCGAAAAGTGTTTAAAGCGTCCATTTTCAAAGTAATTATTACTATCTTGTGAGTTTAAGTTTTATTTACTCAAACCCGTGATAATTGTGAAAAAGTGGCATTAAAAACTTAAAAAGCTGTGCTGTGAACTGCAAAAACCATCGTGAATCGTGGCATAATGTCGGTTTGAATGTTTCATAGGTATCCTTATATAAAATAAAGTTTCTTGTATGCAACATACTGTATTTTATTTATAAAATTAAATGAAAAAATAATAAATTTGAATAAACAATATTTGGCTATATAATTCCGGAAAAAGCCGAACCGCTCTGAAATTTTCAAAAGCTTTGGGTCGCGACCGTTGCAAGAATAGCACCAAATAGTGTTTACATTGTCCTTATGGGCACTTTCCAATCTAAACTTGTTTTATTTATCTATGTATTACATAACAGAGAAATAATATACAGGGTGTTCCATTTAAAAAAAACAAGAAAAATAATTATTTTAGGTGAGTGCAATTTCACAGGCTGTTAATAAACTATAAAACAAATAAATTAATTAATTACTAAAATATTGATCTCATAAATCCATCACAATCTGGCAGCGCTGTTGCCACACGTGCATCGAAAATTGTTTTGCGATACTAAACGTTTGCTATTTTATTTTAATTCCTGATGAAGTTATTTGAGTAGACCACATATTTAGTGCTGTTTCAAAAAAGATCAGAAAGACTATACAGTAGCACGGTAAATAATAATTTTAAGACGTACCTCGGGCTGTGGCTCTTTCTAGTTTTTCTTAGTTCGGTGGATATTTTTCGACTAGGGGCTGCTTGTTTAGGCGGGAGTGGAGGTGGACCGTTGTCGTCGGCATCATTGGGGACGTAAAA